ATCATCATCATCATCATCATCATCATCATCATCATCATCATCATCATCATCATCATCATCATCATCATCATCATCATCATCATCATCATCATCATCATCATCATCATCATCATCATCATCATCATCATCATCATCATCATCATCATCATCATCATCATCATCATCATCATCATCATCATCATCATCATCATCATCATCATCATCATCATCATCATCATCATCATCATCATCATCATCATCATCATCATCATCATCATCATCATCATCATCATCATCATCATCATCATCATCATCATCATCATCATCATCATCATCATCATCATCATCATCATCATCATCATCATCATCATCATCATCATCATCATCATCATCATCATCATCATCATCATCATCATCATCATCATCATCATCATCATCATCATCATCATCATCATCATCATCATCATCATCATCATCATCATCATCATCATCATCATCATCATCATCATCATCATCATCATCATCATCATCATCATCATCATCATCATCATCATCATCATCATCATCATCATCATCATCATCATCATCATCATCATCATCATCATCATCATCATCATCATCATCATCATCATCATCATCATCATCATCATCATCATCATCATCATCATCATCATCATCATCATCATCATCATCATCATCATCATCATCATCATCATCATCATCATCATCATCATCATCATCATCATCATCATCATCATCATCATCATCATCATCATCATCATGAAAGCATCTTTTTTAATTTAATCATTGAAATAACAATTTCATGTTTTAAAAGCTGTTGATAATCGTTTGCATTCAGTAAAACAAGTACAATTAATAAAAGTTCAATTTTTCAAATAATAGAAATGCTCAACTTATACATCCTACTTGAAATTGTTAAAACTCCAGTTTTTGTTTGGTCATGGAGTTCAAATTGAAAAGATAATCATTCAAGGAAAATAAATGCTGTTTTTTTTCGACTTCTAAAACGTATCATTTCTTGAAACGGAAGTTGATTTTAGCCTATTGAAAAAGAATAAGAAAGCGAAATATCAATTTTTAAACAAAAATTCGATATGTTGCTATGTTACGGTATCATTTAATTAAACGTGTTTAAAACAAAACTGGGACACATTTTTTCTGATGTTTGGTAATATCTTAGCAACCTACCTGTTACTCGAACATCTTTACCTAGAATCAGATGATATCAGTGTTTTGAAAAATAATTTTCTATTTTTTACTTTTTACCTATTCAAACAAAAACTATAATCCATATTGATAAGAAGTAAGCAACGCAGTAGATAATTTATTGAATTGTGTAATAGTAATAATAATAATAATAATCTTTTTCATTTTGTTTATAACGACTGTGAAATTTATTGAACTGTAATATCTTTATAATAGTTTGACTGACGAGTAGTGCTCTTCCACGACTCTTGCGACTCTGCAGGAATCAAACACAGGACCTTTGATCTTGCAAGCGAATACCTAACCTATAGACCACTGCGCCAGCATCCGATGGTGTAAATGTCTAACCTTGATCAATCTGAGGTTTAGCACAGCCTCACCTACTGTCTCCGGTAGGTAATTCCCTGAATCCCATAGGGTTGAACTCCACTGGTAACGTCTTCTCACTAGAACTCCGTAAATTTTCTCACAAAACTAGTCCCTAGTGAGCACATCGTACGACTATTTTTCTTTACATATATATATAAGTTGGTTTTATTGTATTCATGTATGATATGTTTACTGTTTCCTCAACAAAAGATCAATTTTTAACAGAAAAGTGAGCAGATATGCAAACAATATTTTCAAAACTAATAAATCACATTTGAACTGATAACAGTTACTAGTTATCACATCATATTCATTTATTGAACTGAAATGACGAACTTTTTAAAAAGGATGACCTGAAAAAATAAGTATATGTATATATATGGTCATCTTAAAAGATACTATAAATAGTTGAGAAGATGAATTCTTGACAATTGAGTAATTTTTAGTGCATTTAAACAAAATAACTTTTGAGAATGTTTATATTACTATTATTATTATTATTACAATGATAGTAAAACATCTGATCATTAACACATTCATATTAAATATTTCAACACATTTTGGACGCAGATTTGTAATCAACTCTCAATAAAAAGTTTTATGATACTTTTGAATAAAAGAATAAAAGCAATTTTTTCTATGCGTTTGGAATGAGTAGGAGTCATTTATTGATTTCATTAAATGACTTTTATTGAATATTGAAAGAGAATCTAACTTCGTTTTGTAAGATTGTTGCAATTTGTGCTGATTTATTTGTGTTAAAATGCTACGTTGACATAATTCAATATTCTGTAGATTTTTTGAGTTTCATTTAACTTTGAAATGCTAAACATTGTCAGACAATCAAGAGTGTTAAGGGAATATTAACGTTTAGAGGCATTAAACTACGGCTAATATTTTTGAGGTTTAATGTCAAACGAAATCTCTGTAAATAAATACATCGTTTAGATAGAATAATAGCATAATAACCGTCATACGTATGCATGCTTTGATGAATTTACTAAATTTTGTAGTTTTAATTTATTGATTGACGTGAAATGTTTCAATTACATTCAAACAATCTTGCTCAAGAGTGAAGATAATTACTTTACTAATCAAATGCAGATAGTGGCTTAAATTAAACCGAAGAATATTATTTAAAAGTTATTGTAGTAAATATATTCCTGTATTAATGAAAGTTAATAAGGTTATTTATGAAAGCTTTTTGCGCCTACTTTTTTAACGAAAAATTTATTAACTTTGTTCCCAGCTTTTTCGTCAGATGTAAATAAAATTTCATTGATGACATTCAAAAATGAGATGACTTAAAACAAAACTCATTGACAAAAACTGTACGAGAAATGTTACACAAATGATTAAGAGAAAATTTATCTACACACTGTTAGTTATGAAAGATTTAGACAGTCATTACTTAAATTTCTACTGATATTTGACTTATTCATAAATTAAATTAAAAGTTTAATTCATATAACATTTAGGTAGATCAATGTTTTTGTATATAAGTTATGTTTATTAGTTCTTAGTTATGAATAGAAGTGAACTCACAATTCTACACCTTTTAACTTTGATGCTCAATCATACAGAACTGTAAGTTGATCTTCAGTGGTTCTATTTTTTTGAGTAATCCAAAAGTGATGGAGCAATTTTAAAAGTTAATATGACAAGAAATTAGTACCGATGTGACAGGCGCTATCCACTACCTCAGACTGACTACTCCAGTAAAAAGACAAGAGTGAAAGTAAAAATTCGTTTGGCTATCGAATAAAATGCATAGATATTCATTTATGCATAAACATTTCTTGATCTGTGATATTTCCCAGTCCTTTGGAACATTTCTGATTGGCATCAAGCAAACATCTCGTGTGACTGCTTCCAGTCGGCTCGCTGTATCAATCTTCTCTCATAAGTTTTGCTTTATGTGCCTTTCCGAAGTTGTTGAGAGATCTGATGTTTTCCTGATGATTTTTTAAAGCAGGATTATCATTTCATTTACCCTGACCTCGTTACTCCTGACTGACTCTATCAATCAGGTGATCTGTGAAACTTAGATTTTCCCAAACTTAGCCATGGGTATAGTTGTACGTTTCAATGGAAAATTTGCAGCCTGAACACACCGTAAATATTTCATCACAATAGGTTGAATGTTCGTGTTGGAGTTTTGTTCTTTGATCTGAATGTTTCGGTTGTGGTGCTTTCATTATCGAAAGGCTGAATCGATTCCAAATGCGATACGAATATTTTGATAGAGGTTCCACTGGGAGTGGGGTTGTGATATAATGAACTATTCGGAAGCAGCCAATTGAGGAGTTCGCTTGATACAAATTAGACATGTCCCAAAGGACAAAGGAATAACATTGATCGAGAGATGTTTTTGCATAAATGATGTATTTATGCATATAATGCATATTATTCGGTAGCGTGCAAATAAATCTTCTACTTCACTCTTGTCAGTTTACTCGAATAGTCAGTGTGAGGTAGAACATATTCAGAACTTGGAAGCCGCATATCGTACCAAACATAATCTCTAAGAGAATTTCGGTCTGTTTATAAACCAATCAGCACAAATTTAACAAACATTTTCATAGTAATATTACTTACAACTGCATATAAGGAGGTAATATTTCTTTGGTAAATTAATTCTTTGTCATTACATGCTAGACTTGTCTTATTATACTTCTTAGCTCAGTGAAATAGAACATTCTGAGTGTAATGAATATAGTAATTGTCGATCTATGTATTATCAGTACTCAATGGTTTCGTCAAGTTGTATTATGCAATGTACAGAGTTTAACTGGGCTGAGTCGATTATATTAAACAAACTTTTCGTGTGATAATACAGAAATATTTATATGTCAGTATGTCATAACGGCCAAATGAGCAACATTATAAGGAATGAATCGCTATGATACACTGCATAGATTTAAGAAAGGGACAACAGGAATCAAGCAGTACTTAACAACTGAATACAAGCACAGTTGGCTAACCTACAGGCTGAACACATATATGCAAACAAACAAGTGAAAAGTAGCATTAGAACTGATAAATCGAAATATGTGGAAAAAACTCCCAGTGATAACGGAAAACGTTGCAACACAAGGAAAACATGAAACAACTACACAATGCAATGAACATAACATTGCATAACGAAAACTAACATGGGAGAAAGACACCAGTCATCCGAAACTAACTAAACTGTTATTTCGATATAGTTGCGATTAGTTTCAATAACTTTGTTCAATGTCTTATAGTTGTTAATATCTAATCGTTTGTGATGACTAAACATTTCGAGTGTCTATAGACACAATTCAATAACAATAATTCATGTGGATTCAATTCCATCCTCATATTGTTTGCTTGAATGTAGCGCGTATGTGATTCATTATGAATTATTTAACTGAACTAAACTTTGAAAAAGTGCCCGAAAAATGGAGTCAGAAAATCGATTACGTCTACTAGTATCTACAGGACACTTTTGTAAGTTGTAAGATAATTAACCAAATCGATAGTGCCAACACTGTGCGTTGCCTGTGATTATTGCATTAAATTCACTACCATATCTGAATGTTGGTTAGAATTACTAAAGTGTGTTATCCGCTAATTGAGTGTAGGCAACCGACCAGCATCCTCCAACCTTCTCTGTCTTGAGTGTTCCTTTCCAGGTCTAATCAACAAATATTCGTTCTCTTCATATCTGACACCGTTTCTCAGTGCAGTGTACTTCATTGTCTACCACCATTCTCTTCGTCTTGAAGAACTCCAACTTATCACTATTTACCGTATCTCGTGGAATTCAAATATTGATTTTCTTGACAGATCTAGACTTGAAGTTATCCACATAATCAAATGGCAGTATGTCATGTGTAATTCTTTTAGTAGCCGCCTCATTTTCTCACATGTAGTTCTCATAAACTTGATGAGTTAGAAATGTCATGATATCTGAATGTTTTAGAATGGATATTCAAGACTAAAGTGTATAATTATTGTGACATATATATCTCACTTGAACTATCAATTAGAAACTACACAAACATGCAGTAAAACTTGCCGAATACACTTTACAAGCACTTCATGCTTCTTTTTTCATTTCAAACGATGAATGTGACA